ATAAATAACTGTATCTCCGTTATATATCTTACCTGCGTATAAAGACCACTTCAATGGCACATAAACGGTACACAATATATGGATGGTACTGTGTCAGACACGTATATGGAACACTTGTATATCTCTCCTGTATCACCTGTATCCCTGGGATCAAACATGTGTCTCCAGTGTTACTAGATAGATACATAACGTGTCTTTCTCAGCATCCAGGTAACGTCTTCAGAGGTTCATACTGGAAGTTTAAACCTTTGTAAAACGAGAAATATATCCAGGTTTGATGTGTGTTTATAAGAACATAAGAAAGAAGGAACACTGCAGCAGGCCTACTGACCCATGCGAGGCAGGTCCAAGTCTCCTACCGGCTTCAGCCAATGCCCCAACCTAGTCAAGGCAGGTCACAATCACTTAAGGAAGGAACACGACAACTGACCTAGTAGCACAAGCTAGTCAGGTCCAACTCACACCCACCCACACCCACTCATGTATTTATCTAACCTATTGTTGTAGATGAATGGTTCAGAGAACCGACATGTTGATAAATTAGACACATGTGCAACTGAACATTAAAATGGTATAAAATACCGACAGATTGTTAGGTAAGACACATATGCAACAGTTAGGTATCTTTATTTTGAAACGTTTCGCCTACACAGTAGGCTTCTTCAGTCGAGTACAGAAAAGTTGATAGAAGCAGAAGAGACTTGAAGACGATGTAATCAGTCCATCACCCTTAAAGTTTTGAGGTGGTCAGTCCCTCAGTCTGGAGAAGAGCATTGTTCCATAGTATGAAACAATATGAAGTTGAAGTGACAGAATGGGGCCTTATATAGTGCCAGGAGGTGAGACGTAGGTTGCTTTGGGAGGGCAGGTCCCTCTCAAACCCAGCCGATGCCCACCTCAAAACTTTAAGGGTGATGGACTGATTACATCGTCTTCAGTATCTTCTGCTTCTATCAACTTTTCTGTACTCGACTGAAGAAGCCTACTGTGTAGGCGAAACTTTTCGAAATAAAGATACCTAACTGTTGCATATGTGTCTTACCTAACACATGTGCAACTCTTGGGTATCTTTATGAGGAAACGTTTCGCCACACAGTGGCTTCATCAGTCCATACGTAGGAGAAACTTGAAGAACAGGAGGAGAATGAGGTAATCAGTCCCTCAAACCCTTTAGTTGATGTGTTCGTCCTCAATCTTTAAAAGTACCAGATTGAGCGGAGAAGGGTTATAAAGTTGGCAGGAGAGGTGAGCAGTGTAGGTGGTGTCCATTGTTATTGTGGAAATAGGGCGTGCCCAAGGGTTAGGCAAGTGTGAATTTTTTAACATCCCACAACGTTTAAACCCTAAAAATGCATGGGGGTTTTTTCCATATCACAACTCTATTACCAAACCAGGCTTTTCCCATTCCTTGCAGTATCTGTCTAGCCAGTGTGTTTAAAACAGTTAACGAAGAGGAAATCTAAAAGTTTTTGATAAGTATTTTGGTCAGTTAAAGGGGGAATTAGGGTTAAAATGGGGTAATTCTGTCCAGATTAATTTGGGATATATGGAGTTATTAGTTATGATGGAGCTTTGATGGTCCGTCTTGTGTTGTGTGTGATATATCTCGGGTAGGGGTTTGAGGGGGTGGTGTGTGGTGGTGTTGGTGGTGGTGGTGTGTGGTTGGGTGTGGGGGTTGTGGGTGGTGGTGGTGAGTGGGGGTGTGGTGGGTTGGGTGGTGTGTGGTGGTGGTGGTGTGTGGTGGTGTTGGGGGTGGTGGTGTGTGGTGGTGTGTGGTGGTGTGTGGGGGTGTGTGGTGGTGGTGGTGTGTGGTGGTGTCGGGGTGGTGGGTGTGTTTTGGGTGTGGTGGTGTGTGGTTGTGTGTGGTGGTGGTGGTGGTGTGTGGTGGTGTGTGGTGGTGTGTGGTGGGGTGGTGTGTGGTGGGGTGTGGGGGTTCGGTGGTCGTAGTGTGTGGTGGTGTTTGGGGGTGGTGGTTGTGTGTGGGGTGTGGTGGTGTGTGGTGGTGTTGGGGGGTGTGGGTGGTGGTGGTGGTGTGGGTTTTGTGTGGTGGTGTGTGGGGGTGTGGGTTGGTGTTTGGTGGTGTGTGGTGGGTTTTGGTGGGTGTGGTAAAATTTTGGGAGAGGGTGGTGATGTGTGGTTGTGTGGTGGTGGGTGGTGATGTGTGGGGGTGGTGTGTTTGGGGGTGGTGGTGATATGTAGGGTAGGGGTGGTGATGTGTGGTGTGTGTGGGGTGTGTGGTGGTGTGTGGGGATGTTTGGTGTGTGATGGTGTGTGGTGTGTAGGGTGTGGGTGGGGTGGTGGTGGTTTGTTGGGGGTGGGGTGGTGTGTGGTGGTGTGTGGTGGTGTGTGGTGGTGTGTGGTGGTGTGTGGTGGTATGGTGGTGTGTGTGGTGGTGTGTGGTGATGTGTGGTGGTGGTGGTGTGTGGTGGTGGTGGCTGTGTGGGTGGTGTGGTGGTGTGTGGTGGTGTGTGGTGATGTGTGTGGTGTGTGTGGTGATTGTAGGGTGAGGGTGGTGATGGGTGGTAGTGTGTGGTGGTGTGTGGCGATGTGTGGGTGGTGTGTGGTGGTGTGTGGTGATGTGTGGTGGTAGTGTGGTGGTGTGTGGTGCATAGTGGGTGAGGGGTGGTGTGTGTGGTGTGTGTGGTGCTGTGTGTGCTGTGTGGTGCTGTGTGTGGTGTGTGGTGTGTGTGGTGGTGTGTGGTGTGTGTGGTGGTGTGTGGTGGTGTGTGGTGGTGTGTGGTGGTGTGGTGAGTGGTGGTTGTGTGGTGTGTGGTGGTGTGTGTGGTGTGTGGTGGTGTGTGGTGGTGTGGTGGTGTGTGGGATGTGTGGTGGTGTGTGGTGGTGGTGGTGATGTGTGGTGATGTGTGGTGGTGTGTGGTGACTGTGTGGTGGTGTGCGGTGGTGTGTGGTGATGTGTTGTGATGTGGTGGTGGTTGTGGTGCTGTGTGATGGTGGTGGTGGTGTGTGGTGTGTGTGTGGTGGTGTGTGTGTGGTATGTGGTGATGTGTGGTGGTGTGTGGGAGTGGTGGTGTGTGGTGGTGTGGTGGGCTTGTGGTGTGTGGTGGGTGTGTGGTGGTGTGGGTGATGTGTGGTGGTGTGTGGTGATATGTGGTAGAGGGTGGTGATGGGTGGTAGTGTGTGGTGGTGTGTGGCGTGTG